CTTTGCTTCATCCTGATGTGGGAAGATCCGTTTCAGCACTAATTTCCCTGGTGTGAATTGCCTCGATCTAACCTTTTTGTTAAAAGCCCTTGCCATTCTATTCTGGTAGAGTTGACCGTGACACACTGCGTTCATTATCTTACCATCAATGAGAGTCGGTTGTTCATACCAGCTCTGTATCCATTCCACGTTGCTGAGCTCGACCTCTTGTATGATTCTTAAGGAAAGAATCTCCACTTCAGCGGGAATAACAACTTTAGTACCGTAGACCAGTAGATAGGGGTTTCCCCAGATGACGTACGAACTGTGGTGCGGTACACGAGCAGAGCAAATGGTAGCTTCTCATGCCATTGCTTGTAGTTGTCCACCATCTTCCTCGATATCTTTTTGATATTCTTGTTGGCAGCCTTCTACGGCTCCATTCATCTGTGGTCTGTACGTTGTAGAATTTCGATGGTTGATCTTGAATGTTTCACACATAGTTTTCATCAGACCACTGTTGAGATTAGCGGCATTGTCGGTAATGATTGATTCAGGTACTCCAAATCGACAAACAATACGATCCCGGAAAAAATCTGCTACGACCTTCTTAGTCACAGCCTTATAGGAAACAGCTTCAACCCATTTTGTGAAGTAGTCTATAGCCACCAAAATGAACCTGTGTACGTTTGAAGCAGCGGGTTCAATTTGTCTGATAACATCCATTCCTCAAGTAGAGAAAGGCCAGGGTGAACTCATTGCATTGAGTTCGTCGGGCGACACTCGTATCATATCAACATGTATTTGGATTTGGTGACACTTTTGAACATATTTGATGCAGTCTGTCTCTATGGTCATCCAGAAATACCCTGCCCTTGACATCTTCTTGGCCAAAACAAAACCGTTCATGTGAGGTCCGCAAGTTTTGGCATGTATTTCTTCGAGCAATCTAGATGCCTCCTTGGCATCGACACATCACAACAATCCCAAATCAGGAGTCCTTCTATACAGAATTCCTCCACTCTGAAAGAAATGGTTGGCCAATCTTCAAAGTGTGCGCTTCTGAGTGTGTGTAGCATTCTCTGGGTATTCTTCTTTCTCCAAGTATTCCTTGATATCGTGGAACCATGGATTTCCGTCAAACACTTCTTCAACATGAGCACAATAAATTGGTTGCTTAGGAATTTCTATTGGGATAGGATCAATGAAATTCTTGTCTAGATGTTGTATCATGGAAGACAATGTGGCTAATGCATCTGCGAACTCATTCTAAATCCTTGGAAAATGTTTGAATTCTATCTTTGTGAACCTATTGATCAACTCTTGTACACAATGCAAGTACGGCAATATTTTAGTGTTCTTGGTAGCCTATCCTCCTAGTACCTGGTGTACCGATAGATCAGAATCTCCGATTACCAGCAACTCCTGAACGTTCATGTCGATGGCCAACCTGAGTCCCAAGATGCAGGCCTCATATTCCGCCATATTGTTGGTGCACAGGAACCTGAGTTTGCAGATACCGGATAATGTTGACCGGTTTCTGATACTAAAATAGCTCTGATGCCCACTCCCTTGAAGTTTGATCCTCCGTCGAAAAATATTCTCCAATCGTCATATGTTTCGGCAATATCTTCTCCTACAAATGAAACTTCCTCGTCAGGAAAATATGTCTTCAATGGTTCATATTCTCCGTCTACGAGGTTCTTTTCCAAGTGATCGGCCAATGCTTGCCCCTTGACTTCCTTCTGAGTCACATAAATGATGTCGAACTCACTTAGCAATATCTGCCACTTTGCTAACTTGCCTGTAGGCATGAGTTTTTGAAAGATGTACTTCAGTGGGTCCATCCTTGATACGAGGTAGATAGTATATGCACAAAAATAATGTCTCAACATCTGGGCTATCTGTGTCAAAGCACAGCAGGTGCATTCCAGCAAAGAATACCTGACCTCGTAAAGGTGTGAACTTCTTACTCAGATAGTATATCACCTTCTCTATCCCCGACATGTATGGGAGGTGACTCCTGATAACGCTGAAGACCAACACTTTGTGGAAATGGTGAGGATCTTGAGAGAACAACAAAAGGCCACCATGGGCCATCTCTCACGGAAGGACCAGGCCATGACCGAATTGAAGCAAGCGTTGTCGGGTGCTTCCAACAACGTGAATGGAAGAGGTCCAGTTCCTACCAGTGCTCCCGCAAATCAAACAGCGCAAAGGAATGATAACAACACCATGAGGGGTGAGGTCAAATTTGACGGGGCCAGGGGGACCGGCAGCAGATCTGGTAATGGTAACAGTAATGATCCTTTCAAAACCGAGCTCATGCGATTCATGAGGGAAATAAATGCTCGAATTGACCAAATTCCGGGTGCACCACCGGTGCGGAAGGGCCTGGATTCCAAGAAATACACCCAGTTGCCGTTCAAACCAAGCGCAGCACCTGAGTTAATTTCGAAGCGGTTCAAAATACCAGATATACCAAAATATGATGGGACTTCGGATCCTCAAGAGCAGATCACCACCTATACAACGGCAATGAAAGAAAATTACTTGGCTCCACACTAAATTGAGTCGGTCCTACTGAAGAAGTTCGGGGAAACCCTCAAGACGGGGGCCTTGACATTGTACTCAATCTTACCCCAAACACTCAATATATTCCTTTGAGATGCTCGCAGACTCTTTCATCAAGGCCCATGCCGAGGCCAGGAAGGTACAGGCCCGAAAGGCAGACATATTCAGAATTGCGCAAGGAGAGTATGAATTGCTGCGAGAGTTCGTGACCATGTTTTAGAAAGAAAGGATGTTACTACCGGCTATGCCGGATGAATGGACAGCTGAGGCATTTACAAAGGGGCTGAACCCAAGGATCTCCGACGACTCTCGAAAACTAAAAGAAAGCCTGCTCGAGTTCTAGGGAACTATATTGGCAGATGTCCATAGCCGTTACGAATCAAAGATAAGAATAGAAGATAATCAGCTAGGGTTCCCGACATCAATTAAGGGTCGGGATCGAGAAAAGAATACGGATAAGTCAAAGGATGATTTTGGCGCAGATCGACGATCTTCTAGGGGCCAATTTTTGCCCTACAAAAGGGTCGAAAGACGTGGTAGAGGGTTCTGGTCAGCGAATAGGTTCGCGCTCGATAGAAGAACTGACCGTGGCTGGAATAGCAGGTATTTGCAAGATAAAGAGGCATCGATTTCCCGGGATTCCACATATCCTAGACTGTTTGAGTATAATTTTAATGTCAGCATAGTGGAGCTAGTATCGGCGATGAGGAACATCAAGGAAGCACGGTTCCCAAAGCCGATGAGATCTGATCCTAGCCAAAGAGATCCTAATCTATGGTACGAGTATCATGGGACTAATGGCCACCGATCGGGGAAATGTTGACATATGCGCGAAGAGGTGGCGACATTGTTAAAAAATGACCATCTTAGAGAGATCTTTAGCGACCAATAATTTCGGCCGCAATCGGGATAACGCAGAGCCCTCGAATATAGATGAAGACCTTCCCCGATAAACCATCAACATGATTTTCGAGGCTAACGAGATCAGCGATGTGACCTTCTTGGCAGCAAAAAAGACAAAGGTGTCTGTGACTCATAGCAAGAGACTCCGGGAAGTCACCGAGGATGGCATTACATTCACAGAAGAGGACGTCGATGGACTGCTACTGCCGCACAACGATGCCCTGGTAATATCTCTTAACGTTCTAGATTTTAAAATTAAACATGTTTTGGTGGACCCAGGAAGTTCAGCCAATATCATTCAATGGAGAGTGCTAGAGCAAGCCAAGCTATCCAACCAGAAGCATTATTCCGTCCACAAAGCTCCTCGCCGGGTTCAACATAGCAAGTATGATAACCCAAGGAGAGATCCTGCTGCCCACGAACGCCGAAGGGATCATGAAGACTACCTTGTTTGAAGTAGTAGATTGCGACATGGGCTACAACATAATTCTCGGCAGACCATGGCTGCACGAGATAAAAGCAGGGCCATCAATATATCACCAACTTCTGAAATTCCCAACTCCAGAGAGAATCAAACAAATAAGAGGAGATCAACCGGCGGCAAGGGAGATGAACGCAATCTTGGTTTCTAGTAGTAAAGGGAAGGAACACGCGGCATAACAATAACAAGAACCGACGCCCGCTTCGGAACCAAAAGATGACGACAAAGGGGGGAGCCATCGGAATCCTACCAGGTACCAAGATATTTCCAGGTACCGGAAGAAACGGATGCAACAAAGTCCACGGCGGAAGAACTCGAACAAGTGGCATTGTTTAAAAAGTTTCTAGAGAGGAAGTTCCACTTGGTGACAGAATTAAACCCCGAGCTCAGGTCAGGATTTATAGAATTTCTTAAAACTAATATTTTCATTTTTTGCATGGTCGCACGCGGATATGACAGGTATCCCTCTAGAGGTGGCCGTCCATAAGATAAACCTGGACCCCAGCATCCCACCGATAAGGCAAAAGAAGCGCCCAATCGCCGTGGTCAGAAACAAGTTTGTCAAAGAAGAGGTAACTTGATTGCTCGATATCGGTTCGATTCAGGAGGTAAAGTATCTCGACTGGCTAGCAAACATAGTTGTAGTAGTTCCAAAAAAGAATAATAAATTCCGCATGTGCGTAGATTATAGGGATCTGAATAAGGCGTGCCCAAAAGACTCGTTCCCATTTCCAAATATTGATCAAATGATCGATAAAACGGACGGACATGAGTTGATGAGTTTCCTCGATGCCTATTCCGGGTACAACCAAATTAAGATGAACCCGGAGGATCAGGAAAAATCTTAGTTCATAATGAACTTTGGCACATATTGCTACAATGTGATGCCCTTCGGGCTTAAAAAAGCCGGAGCCACTTATCAGAGGCTCGTGAACAAAATGGTCGAAAAGCAAATAGGGAAAACAATGGAAGTTTACATAGATAATATGTTGGTTAAGTCTTTGAATGCAGGTGACCATTTGAAAAACCTCCAAGAAATTTTTACATCCTAAGGAAGCAAAACATGAAGCTTAACCCTGAAAAGTGTGCGTTCAGAGTAAGCTCCGGTAAATTTTTAGGTTTCCCGGTGTCACAAAGGGGGATCGAAATCAATCCCGACAAAATTAAAGCCATTGAAGACATTCCAGACCAGCTGACAAATGTGAAAGAAGTCCAAAGACTAACCGGAAGACTGGCCGCTCTAAGCAGGTTTATTTCCCGCTCTTCGGAAAAATGCCATCACTTTTTCTCACTTCTGAAGAAGAAGAAGAACTTCGAGTGGACTCCAGAATGTCGACAGGCTCTAAAAGACCCAAAATGGTATCTATCAAGCCCTCTGTTACTATCAAAACTGGAGGAAGGTGAACATTTGCTAATATACTTAGCGGTCTCGAAGGTAGCGGTACGTGCCGTTTTAGTCCGAGATGACAAAGGTACGCAATCTACTATCTATTACATTAGTAAAAATTTATCGGGAGCAGAAACTCATTATTCGCACCTCGAAAAACTGGACTTAGATCTCATAGTCGTAGCTTGAAAGCTTAGGCCTTATTTTCAATGCCATCTGATAGCCGTGGTGACAACCTTTCCCCTGCGAAATGTCCTTCACAAACCAGAGTTGTCAGGTCGACTAGCCAAATGGGTAGTCGATATTAGTGAATTTGATATTGAATATAAACCCGGTACTGCGATGAAATCATAAGTTTTGGTCAACTATGTGGCCGATTTCAGTCCCGGGCTACTGCCTTTGGCCACAAAGGAAGCGGTGATGGTGTCGGAAATAACATCGGGAATTTGGACCCTGTTCACGGATGAAACTTCCAACTTGAAAGGGTCTGGGCTCGGGGTAGTCTTAATCATGCCCTCGGGAGAAGTTCTGAGGCAGGCTATAAAAAATTGTTCCCTTGACTAACGATGAAGCCGAGTATGAGGCTTTGATTGCAGGACTTGAATTGGCCCGGGACTAGACTTTGAGGTCATCAAAATCAAATGCGATTCCCAACTGGTGGTAAATCAAGTATATGGGATCTTCGACACCAAGGAGGAACGCATGCAGGAATATGTGGTGAATGTTCAAACTCTACTCGCACGATTCAGGGAATGGTCAATTACTCACATCCCAAGAGAAGATAACACAAAAGCAGATACATTGGCTAGTCTGGGCTCATCCACGGAAATGAAGGGATCAGATTCTGGTACAGTCATACAGCTTATGCACTCGGTACTGGATGTGGATAGTTATTATGAATTAAATACAACCAACTTGGTCTAGGACTGGAGAAATGAAATCATTGACTACCTTGAGCATGGCAAGCTACCCGAAGATCCGAAGGTATCCCGATCACTCCGCAACAAAGCAATTGGTTACAACTTCAGGGGAGGACAGTTATACAGAAGGTCATTCCAAGGCCTGTTGGCCCTATGCTTAGGTGCCTCTGAAGCTAATTACGTGATGAGAGAGGTTCACGAAGGAATTTGTGAAAATCATTCAGGTGTAGACTTGTTGGTGTTAAAATTAGTTAGGGCGGGATACTACTGTCCCCGGATGGAACAAGACTCTAAGGCATTCATTTAGAAATGTGACAAGTGTCAACGCCATGCACCGTTAGTACACCAACCGGCAGAACTATTGCACTCGGTATTATCTTTATGGCCATTCATAAAATGGGGGATGGATATAGTCAGACCGCTACGACCAGCTCCTAGGAATGTCAAATTTCTCTTAATTTTAATAGATTATTTCAAAAAGTGGGTTGAAGCATGTCCGTACCAAAAATCGACGAGCGCGAAGTGGTCGATTTCCTGTGGGAGAACATAATTTTCCATTTTGGAATATCGAATGAGATTGGCTGTGACAACGGGCCACGGTTCATAGGCGCAAATGTCATAAAATTCCTTGAAAACTTGAAAATCAAAAGAATGACATCCTCTCCATACCATCCGAGCACAAATGGGCAAGTGGAGTCAACAAATAAGGTGATTATTCAAAATATCAAAAAGAGATTGGAAGAAGCCAAAGGCAAGTGACCCAAAGAGTTACCGGGAGTGTTGTGGGCATATCGGACGATGACCAAGTCGAGCACAGGAGAGACACCTTTCTCTCTCGTATAAGGAGTAGAATCTCTGATCCCAGTGGAAGTAGCAGAACCAACCTTGAGGTACTTTCGGGCGGACAAAGAAACAAACAACGAAGCATTGCTAGTCAAATTGGAGTTTCTTGATGAACGGAGGGACTTGGCACACATAAGGATGGTGGCTCAGAAACAAATAATTGAAAGATACTATAGTCGAAGAGACAATCTCCATTATTTCAAAGTGAGAGATTTGGTTTTAAGAAAAGTGACTCAAAACACTCGGGAGCTCAATGCAGGAAAATTGGGTTCGACGTGGGAAGGCCCCTACCGGGTTACGACTGTCACCGGGAAAGGATCATATGAACTAGAAGACCAAGACAGCATCAAATTGACGAATAACTGGAACGTGACTCACCTCAAAAGGTATTATTATTGATGAGCACCTCTTATACTGAAAGTATGTGCTGCACTTTTTTTCCCTTCGTCCAGTTTTTGTCCCAATTGGGTTTTTCTGGCAAAGTGTTTAACAAGGCAGCAACGGAAAGCATACTATGAAGGAAACATCATCAGCAGAAATAAGACCTTTAAATGACAAGGCATAAAAATGACAAATCACTGTAGGATGGTTAGATAGTCTTTGGCTCAATAGCAAAGTTCCTATTGGGAAACAAGCTTGTTATCGGACCAAAGAGTATTCAACCGTTCACGAGTGCTCCTTCCCTACAAGCCACGGGAGGTGGTTAGATAATCTTTGGCTCTGTAGCAAAGTTCCTAAGGGGAAACGAAGCTTGCTACCGGACCAAAGATTGTCCAACCATTCACTAGTGGAATCCTCAAAGGAGCAAGATTTCCAATGCTCCAATTCGCATTCTTCGCATTCGAACACTGGGGGGAGGAATGATATGAAAATATGGCAATCTGATTGCCACAGAAATCGGGACTACGTAATTCGAGACAAAAATGTCTCATCGGAACCGAGGACTGCACAGCCAGCCCCGTAGAAACAAGTTGTACAAATTAGCCACAAGTAATGGCAATTTCTTTCTTTCAGCAAAACGAATGCATATGTACCTTTGAATATAGAAGGAATAAAATAAAGTCCTTATATTTTTATCTTGTTTCTTGTCCAAAGGATGAATTGATTTTATCATTTGAAAGTTAATCAAATACTTCAAATGCTAGTGCCAGAATGAACAGGAGACGTCCTCTTCAAGAGCACCGTAAACATAAGAGGGCTCTCTCTTATGAAACCCTCATAGTAAAGGGTTGGTTCTGGAAGAGTTTATACCAGAAACCCAAATGCTATTGGGGAAAAATGCACCCGAAGCCATGCATAATTCGATGCAAAAAAGTAAATTTTGCGCAATGCTTAAACAAAAAGCACTTTTATCTATCAAACGTGCTAAGCAGCACAATGTGGCAAGTAACACAAGTACAAAAATACAAAAAGAAAAAAACAAAGGAAAAGAAAGAACAAAGAGCTAAACGACATCGCCCCCAGAACTCGGGGAAGAGAAGCATCAGTGCCCCGGGAGAAGTAGGCGGATCTGCCGCCGGCTCAAGATCTTGGCCTTCATCATTATTTTCCTCAAGTTCATCCTCGGTTCCTGAGAACTCGGTTCCTAAGAACTTGGAACCCCAACCAGAAGAGTTAGTTGCATCAGGCTGAGCCAGGAGGCGTCTTCGAGCCGCTGACTCCAGCTCTCGGGCCTTGGCGATTTCATCGTCAATATCAATGATGCCTGCTTTGGCCTCTTCCAAGGTTTTTCTCCTCATGCTATACATAGAATATATATTTTCAATGATGAGGGAATCCATTCGGTGCTGGAGCTCTAATTTAAGCCGATCAACCTCGCTCGAAAGGCCATCCTGCTTAGATCTCGCGGCGCTAAGGCTAAGATCAAGATCACGGATAGAGGTTATAAGAACCTTATTATGCTCCATGATCCTCTTATACCTATCCTTCATCTGGGCACGCTTCTCCTCGGTAGTAGCAGCCTCTTCATTTTTGGAGTTCAAGGCTGCCTCCAAGTTATTCAATCTCTCAATGGAAGCAGATTCGCGCTCGGCGGCAACGAACACAATGTTTTGGACCTCAGACCATTTAGCCTTGGCTTCTTGGAACTGTACATTTAATTGAGAGGTTTCTTGGCTGAGGGCCATCATTTCCTACTCACTCTGTTGCAACCGAGCCTCTAACTCACCAGCTTCATCAACATTTGCTTCCAGCACCGGGAGACGAGCAGCAATTTGGTCCCTCTCGGCCAACAACTAGTCCTGCTCGGACTTAAGCTTTTCTTTATCGAGGATCAACTTCTGAAGGCCCATGAAAGCAAGGAAGTTGGCCTACAAAGCAAAAACCAAACTTAGAAACTCTGTCATAGCAGGTCGAGAAGAAACAAGCAGTAAAGAGAATAAGTATGTTACCGCTACTATTTTGTGAGTGGCATTGTATAACAAACACTCGATAGAGAGAGAGAGAGAGAGAGAGAGAGAGAGAGGGAGTGTATGTATCTTCTTCTTATCCTTTTCTGAAGCCAGCGATTTCAGATGATTAGCAAGTTCCACCGTTCGGGACAACAGATGGCACTCGATAGATACCGAAAGGGAGACACTTCTCCTCTAGGGATCTGCAGAAGGGGGCGAATAGTTGTGTCCCAAATTCTCATGTTCTGGGGACTATGGAGAAGGGACATCCTCCTCTCGGGAGTCTGAGGGAGGTGGGGTGATGTAGCAGTTGTTGGTGATGAAGGTATGGCTAGCATGGAAGGAGATGAAATTGATGGTGTTGTAGGTTGAGAAGTAGCTACGGCAGAGGCAGTGCTAGTTGTTGGATACTCACCAACTGAAGACGGAAGAGGCCCGGTACTCGGACTCACAACACCGGGAGCAGCAGCTGCGACCGGAAAGGGAGAGTTGGCATTATTCACCAAGTCAAACTCTCCCTAAAGTGCTTGGACATCATTCTTGGTTGGGTTTATAAGCTCTTCAGATTGATAATTATGTTGAGCTGATGAAGGACGTTGTCTCCTTTGTAGGGAAGCCCCTTCATCACTAGCTTCCCCATAATCATCAATCACTACAGTGGTTGCGACTGGCTCAGGTGCTGCTTTCTTTACCATTTTATTCTTGCCCTCGGCCGAGGAAGAATGTCGCCTTTTTGGTTTCTTGTCCTCCGGATGGGGACTCCGAGAGGAAGCGCTTCCACCGAAAGCAGATCCGATGGCGCCTGTTTGGGTGAGAGCCTCTTTCAGCAACCTCGCAGCCTCCATGGGATCAACCAAAACATCCTCCTCAAGGATGGTAACAGAGCCCTGTAGGAGACATGAATCAAATAAAAAATGAGGATAATCAGTTTTCTTATGTACAAAGATGAAATGAAGGCAGAATCGATTTTACGAGGAAGCTTACCATGATTCTTGGCCCTCCATCCATATTTGTGGGCCAGCTCTTTCCACCGGCGAGTCTCAGGCATGGTGATGTCCAGAATTTTTTGAACCCACCATTCCAATCCTTTAACCCTTGGTGGTGTCCGCCGAGTTGTTGAAATAATGAAAAGAGAAGGATCATCAACGACCTGAAACAACATTTTTTTCCAGAAAAAAGAAAGACTTTGAACTTACGTGTACGAGTCCAGTACTAATGGAAAGATGGAGTCGTGTTCGGGATGATATCCCCAGTGGCAACAATGACAAACTGCTCCATCCATCCACGGTCATTGTCGTCATCCATGCTGGTGAAAAAAGCATGGTGGCCATGATTGCTAAAATTTATTACTTCCCCACGGAGAGTCTTGGGGGAGAAGAGATTCATCATGCGAGCCAAGGTGAGCTCCTCCTTCGTCTCCTGGCACAATTGCCATAGATAGGCCACCATTCTCCATACCGAAGGGCCCACCTGTGCCAAACAAACCTTGTATTTGTGGAACAACTCCAAAATCACGAGGTCAAGTCCCCCGCTCAAGGAAAATGCACCCAAAGTGAATAGGTACGTATAAATATACATGAAGCCCTTCTTAGTGAAGGTTACTCGCTCCACCAGTTCGGGAGCAATGATGTACAGGTCATGGCAATCATAGTCCTCCTTCACAGTAGGAATGTTGTAAGGGCGGATAGATGAAGGGTATATGCCAACAACCCAAGTGCGAGAACTTGAAGAAGGGAACTTCTCTTCAAAGTCCTTGGCTGTGTTGAGTTGTTTAGGGATGATAGTGCTTACCGTGGGAGGGTCAGCATCAACATCGATTTCTTTGTCTTTGCTTTTCTTCGGGCCATCACCGAAGAGAAAATCGGAGTTCTTGGAAGGTTAGTAAAAGAAGCCATGATTGGCAGAAGATGATGAGAGTTCTTTGAAGAAGATTAAAGAATGATAAAAGCAATGAAGAGTTGAATGCAAAGAAGTTGAGAGAGTTTTTAAAACTATTAAGTGTAAAAGAAGAAGAAGAAGAATGAGGCGTATAAGTAAAGGAATAGGCGGCTAAAATTATGTCCATGATTACCTC